CGCCGGGCTTTCAAAACACGGAGCGCCATCCTGGATGGGCTGTCAAGTTTGCGCACAAAGCCTCGGGGCTAATGGTCATCTTGGCGGCTTTGATGAGAGCAAGCTGTAAGTCGTGTGTTTGGCCGCAAAGCTCAAGCAATGCAGCAGCCGACCATCCGATACGATTTCGAGAGAGTGGAAAGCATTGTGACAGTGCTGGACGATCTACAACGTATGGTACAATTCAGACTCATGCTCCACAATACGCACAGCACGGACCACCCGGAGTCGAGCCGCCGGAATCTTTCAGTGCCGAACCGCCCGGACCTGAAGCGTTGTTCACAGCGCAACCCCCGCGCTTCACCGACAAAGCGCGGCGCCAATTACTGCGAACTACCAGTACGGGTAATTTGGCGTCGCTCAGAGGTGTCTGACGCTTCATTGTTCTTTCGTCAGCGTATGGAGGTATAGGAGTGCAATGGAACAGGTATGCTGGTGACTATTGAGCGGCAGCTCAAACGGCGCGGCCGAACGTCCAATGCAGAGTCCCCTTTGCCTTGGTTGAATGTGGCCGGGCCGTTGGCGACGGGGTGCCATGGTCCTGGTGTCAATTTTGCTCATATCGTTCTTCTTTTTCTCATGTTGCTTCCAACCTCCATCTTTATCACTACAGTAGGTTTCCACGTGTAATTCGGACACTACACGCATTGGAAACAATTGACAAAAATCTGCTATAGTATCCGGCAATGGAAGTAAAAAGATTACAAAAGCGAGAATATGTTGTTTGTTGTCTTTGAGACTATCCGTCCAGAGTAGCACATTCTTTCCCTCCATTTTTGGACCTTTTGCCGAATACTGTATCAAATTCCGAAGTCATATCGCCAATCATATCAGAGAGTGTCATCTAATGAGAATAGCGACAGTCTATGTAGAATATCATCCGACAATATCTACCGCCGGATCCCGTAGAGCCACACAGATGGGGCGGCGCAGTCTTTATTCCAAGGAAAAGCGAAGCGTCTTGTAAAATTATACGTAGTCGGTCTTTTAGCCTCAGCTCAATCGGTCTGACATCAAGCATTTTGTTCAGGAGGAACAGAGTTCGGCCATTATTCGTGGGTATGGAGAAGCGGACTTCCTGTAGTTGAAATAACCCATCATCCCATTAGTTCTCGGGTTTACCCCGCCCCAATAACGCCTGGTCAACCTCGGTGGTTTGGGCGCAACTTGGACCCCTCGAGGACGCTCACGAACGTCTCTCGCAAGATCCTCAATAACTGCGCCGAGATCCAGTTCCATCAGCAGATTAACGACGCCTCTCACGACCAGCGCAAGCGTCTCTCCAGCATCGCCAATACATGACTAATCGCGCCGGGCGTCTTCTACTTACTGTTTGGCGAACGTCTTGCAGCCTCTCGTGCCGTGGCTCATATCTTTCGACAGCTCAAGGAGGCCTGTTCCTTGAAGGACCCGTTTAACGATCGCCAACGTCGCATGCCCGAGTACCTTACCGTTTTCACGATATTCCTTACGATAGCCCTTTGGATGTTGATAATGATACAAGCGTGGGAGACCAGGCGTTTCATAGACAAGGAGTGGCAGTATCTATGCTTGAAGGTATCCTTGGCCTGAATGAAGAGGACTTCGTCAGGTTTCGTACTCGAGCACAGGAGCTTGATGGTCGTCAAAAAGCAGCCGGAACTGTTAGGCAGCACCAGTTCAACAAACCCGACCGAGACATCAGTCGTCAGACCACCAACATCGACACCGATCGTGCACCTTCGCCACGCAAGAGACAAGCTCACTCGGCGCTTGCCGTAAGACAGCGCTCCGATGCTCACGATCCGACGTCCACGACTGCCCCCAGCTATCCAGTTCGATCTCCGGGCAGTCCGATCAAGCCCGTATTGGCTGAGGACCTCGCTCGACCCCTTCCGACCAACGCCCTTCGATTCATAATCTAAATTCTTATGGTGTTCAGGCTAAAAGAGACATTGTTGCACGCTAACGCAGAAGAGAAGAGCATATGAATAAGATAACACGCTTTAAAGGTGGGAGCCCAATACATTCAATGGACAGCTCTCGCAAAGACCTAGGCAATGAATAGGAGAGGTGCTTGGAACACATTACTTGTTTTCAGCTATAGACTATTTTGCTTGAAACATCGATTATAGCTTCTAGGTTAGATGCCGAACACCATGACTTCCTCCTTGACTGATAGGACCTAGAAACAATAACACCGTGCTTATCAGAATAGCGGGTTAACAGTGAGGGTTTGGATCGGTCGCTCGACTCTTGCAATCAGTGCATTCGCCGTCGCCGGTGATTTTTTCGTGCTCAGAGCCTGGTCCCTTGCATCCTTTGCCTTGCTCGGAACACCACTCGATATTGTGGAACCCAGTGTGGCCACATTCGAACTTTTTATCGACCTGCTTGCACATTACGCTGGATCTCTTGGCTTGTGATTCCAAGCCTCGCTCTCTTGTCTCTTCTGGTCGACAGTATCTCCTATAAGGAAACGTCAGTGCTATTACCATTCCTATATCCCCAGCCTCAAGCTTACAGGTAATCATACAGCCATCACAGGATCGAAACCGCCGGAAACGATGTTGGTGGCGAAGGATGGAGCCTTTGTGAATGGAAATCGATCAGACTAACTGTGGATCCGTGCTGGTTTACTTCTCGGATTCTAGCTGCTCCAGAGGGAGTCTCGACAAAGTCTTATAGATATGTTTTCCTTACGATTGTGAAGGCTGGATGACTCCAGTGGCCGCTGCACCAACAGCAAGAGGCTGGAAAAAGCGGTTCCTGGCTTGTTGTAATCCACAGAGGCTAATCTTGCATTTGGACCCAAGCCTGCTGAATTTGGTCATTCGCCCGTGTGCACCAAAGTACAGTATACGCCGCCCACTGCAGGGCTGGCTGACCACGGCGTTATCCCCCTATCGGCGCAGCAGTCGGGCTCCCATCCGCTTCGCGGTGCATCGGCGGCTACACGAGCTCTGCGCACGCTTCTTGGTGCACGGCAGATGCCAGAGTGTGGATACATACACACCGAGGTGTTCTGTAGTATCAGCACGCCGAGGTGTGGAATTGCTGCGTGCAATGAAGTTGAGAAGCGACTTCGTGGAGAAAACCCGACCCTTGCAAACTTGTCTTCGCCAGTCGAAGACTGTTCCAGGACACCTCCTTACCTTACCGATAACAAGTTGGCCAAATGACCCTTCTGCTCCAAAGCGAATACGGTAACTGAATCGGCCACGTCATGTGGTTGAGTCCCAGCGAACCGCCACCCCCCGACGCAGTTGGAAAGCGAAGTCCGGAACACCCGTGTTTTGCACCGCAATATAAATGCAATGTATCCTTGGAATAGTCGTCGTCGTATCTGTCGATAACTCCAAATTGTTTTTTCACTGACTCTGGATTTCTCGTTCGTATCATTACCACAACCGTCCCACTATTCGTTGTTTTCCTCGTAAACATGACCGAGACAAGCACAGATCTTTCCGCGACAGGCGTGGGTGGTTCTTCACCTGTTCAGTTCGTAACCGACCAGCTCGAGGCACCCCTTCAAGACAAATGCACCTACCTCGTGGTCCAACTGCCTAATGGGCTCGAAGCGCTGTTGGTCCACGATCCAGAGGCCGACAAAGCTAGCGCGGCCCTGACTGTGAAGGTTGGCAGCCTCAACAATGATGAGGATCTGCCCGGGACGGCGCATGCCTTGGAACATGTACGATACCTAGCCCTGCTAATGGCTCCCTCTCGCTCACGTACCATTGCACAGTTCATACAGATGGGCTCCGAGAAGTTCCGCGGAGCAAACGAATATCCAGAATACATACAAAATAACTCTGGGCAACGCGACGCAGAAACGACATTGAAATCGACCACATACTATTTCAGCGTCTCCGCCCAGCCCGCCAACGGCCACGAACCGTCAGATTTGAATCCATCTGCCTTGGAAGGAGGATTGGACCGATTCGCCAATTGTTTCGTTGCGCCACTATTGCTTGGATCGAGCCTGGATAGTGAATTGAATGTTGTGCACTCAGAGTACAAGCGGAACCTGCAGAACGACAATTATCGAATTACTCAGGTGGAAAAGTCGCATTCCAACCCCAAGCACCCCTATCATCAATTCTCTACCGGTAACCTCGAGAGTCTCAAAACCCGACCGGAATCCAAGGGGCATGATGTTCGGGATAGGATCACGAAGTTCTACCAGAACCACTACTCGGCGAACCGCATGAAGCTGGTTGTGCTTGGCCGAGAGTCGCTGGACGTACTTCAAGGATGGGTCGCCGAGTTCTTCTCCAGTGTTCCTAACAATAACCTGGTGCCAAACCGCTGGAAGGATGAAAAGCCCTTGCGCAAGGACGATCTTGGCACCCAGATTTGTATCCATCCTGTCATGGATGTAAGACTGCTGAGGATCACCATTCCGTTTCTCGATCAAGAAGCGTTGTTTGAGTGCCAGCCTGGGCGATACGTCAGCCACCTTGTAGGTCACGAGGCTCCGGGCAGCATCCTGTCTTTCACCAGGGCGAAGGGTTGGGTTAATCATTTGGGCACCTCTTTCACAACTATTGGTTCCGGATCCGGTGACATCTTCGTGTGTCAGTTTCATTTAACAGAAGAGGTGAGATCGCTACTACGCTGTTCGAATCTTTTCTCAAATGCTTACTCAGAATGTAGGGGTTGAAAAACTACAAAGAGATCGTCAAGATATTCTTCCAGTACGTGTCACTCCTTAAGGAAGGAGCACCTCTGAAATGGATCTTCGATGAGCTACAGATCATGGCGGACCACAATTTCAACCACAAGGAGAAGATTCGCGAAATTCTGTTCACATATGAAACCAGTATTCGCATGCAGAAGCCTCTCCCGCGGGAGTGGCTACTCAGTGGAAATAGTCGGTTGAGGAAGTTCGATCCTTCTTTGATCACAGAGGCTCTGGCATGCTTGAGACCTGATAACTTTCGTCTGACAATCGTCTCACAGACCTTCCAAGACTGTGATCGCACCGAAGAATGGTACGGCACCAAGCACAGCCTGCAAAACATCCCCCGCGACTTCATGGAGGAATTGGAGAAGGCCGCCTCAAGCACAGCCTCCGACCGACCTTCCGATCTTCATCTTCCCCATAGGAACGAATACCTTCCTTCGATGCTCGAAATTGGGAAGACGGATGCCAAGGAGCCAACTCTGGAGCCGGCTATGATACGCAACGATGACTTAACACAGACGTGGTTCCAGAAGGATGACAGGTTTCTGACCCCCAAGGCATCCTTTTACATGAGTTTCCAAACCCCTGTTGTCTATGCGACCGCCAAGAATGCTGTCGAGACCTTATTCTTCACCTGTCTTGTTTCAGATGCGCTTGCCCCAGAATATTCCTATGCCCAGCTTGTTGGTTTGCGGTACAAAATCTGGTTTGATGGTTGCGGGGTCCAGCTAAATGTCTTCGGATACAACGACAAGCTGGCTGTCTTCCTGGAAAAGATTCTGATCGTGATGCGTGATCTCGAGATACAGGAAAAAAGATACAATGTCATTCGGGAGCGCATCGAAGAATTCTATAACAACTGGGAACTTCAAGCGCCGTGTGCACAAGTGTCATCTGAGGTAGCCAGGCTCTGTTCAGAACGCGAATACACTACGGGAGAGCGGTTGGCTGAGCTGCCAAAGATCACTCTCCAGAGTGTACAGAAATTCAAGGAGCGGATTTTTCAGGAGCTGCACATCCAGTCCTACTGCATCGGCAATCTTTGTCAGGCGGAAGTCCGGGAAATGACCGACATGACAACCACCATCTTACAGCCTCGCACGTTACCACCATCTAAGAGGCCTGTCGTCCGCTCACTAATCTTCCCCCCTGGATCGAATTATGTCTACGAGAAGGTTCTCAAGGACCCCAAAAACGAGAATCAATGCGTTGAGTACTGTCTTTACATTGGGGATAAAGGCAACCCCCTAATTCGCACGAAGACTATGTTGTTTGATCAATTGTCCCGCGAGCCAGCCTTTCATCAACTTCGAACCGAGGAGAATTTAGGCTATTTTGTCGAAAGCAAAACCAAACACTTCTAGACTACTTGCGTCTTTAGCTTGATCATTCAGAGTCAACGGGCGCCTGAGTATCTCGAGTCCAGAATTGACGCCTTCCTAACCTCGTTTGGAAATAAACTGTTGTCGATGCCTGACGAGGATTTTGAGACTCATAAGCGCAGCGTAATTAACAAACTGGTCGAAAAGCCAAAGAACCTTGACGAAGAGAGCAAAAGACACTGGAATCAGATTGTTACTGGCTACTGCGATTTTGAGCGAGGTAAGCAACCAAAGATATCAGGCGATTACAGTTACTGACTTGAGTTGAAGACCCGCAAGACGCAGAAAAAACAAATAATCTCACGATGGCCGACATGATTGCATTCTACAATGAATACATCAAGCCAGGCTCAGTTACACGAGCCAAACTCGCGGTGTATCTGCGCGCGCAGGCCCCGTCGCTCAATCAGGGAGCCACAGCCGAGGGACGCGTGGATGGAGACGAGAGTGAGAGCGGAGCTCCAAAGGCCATTTGTATTACGAGCATTGAGAATTTCCGAGCAGCGCTACCGAAAAATAACGCGGCGTGTCGAGAGAGTTGAAACGCGGCAAGGCTAATTGAGTGGGTTCGGAAGACTGTGTTGAGATAGTTGAGTCAAGATGGCCTGAGAGTCACTCGACGCAATGAGGGCAAGTATATAGAGATTGATAGGATCTGTTTCTCATAGAATGACCGTGTCTTATTGAGTCCCCTTTTGTGTTTAGCATCGACGTAGAGGGAAGGCAGGCGTTTAGAAAAAAGCGGGGGCGAGAATGAAAGCACATGGTCCAGATCGTCATGCTAGATAGGTAACAGGACATGGCAATTATCCGCTTTCATTCTTGATTCAACTAATCATCTTAAGCATCTACCAGGCCTTCTCACAAGCATGGCCGCATCGAGCGACGGCGGCATAGGATGGACTGGGGCCGCTTCGCGCCGAAACCAGAGTTGTCAAGACCTCGAGCTTTTCGCTCGTCTCCGTGTTATCGTATTCAACCTGCTGCTTCAAAGCCTGCAGGTCGCCGCGGACCGTCGGCGGCTCATCCTTGATTGACCGCAGTTCCTCGTTCGCCGTCCCCAGCTCCGTTGTGGCTTGCTGAAGCTCGCCCCGGATATCCTTGTTGCGCAGTTCCGATTTCTTCCATGCATTGAAAACCACCTGGAGGGATGTGTGAAGCTCCTTCATCTGCTTTCCCATGGCCAGCAGTGTTCTGTCGTCGTCTTCGGCCGCCTTGGTCATTCCTTTGGCGGCTGACGCGTCCCCGGTGGTCGCCCTCCGCACACCGTTTCCTGCCAGATCGTTAGGTTCTGGGTTTCCATCGTCGGCAATCTCTCGGTTTCCTTTGAATAGTAGGGCTTTGGTCGTCGGTTCACGTATCCGTCGTAGTGGCCGCTCCGTTCCGCTGGCCTCCCCCGAGTCGGACGCGCCGAAGGTGGGTCCACTAGTACCGCGCCACGCGTCTCGGTAACGCCCTTTTCGCAAAACACCCAACTGGCCCTCAACAGCAACGACAAAAGATGAAGATAAGCTGATATCTAGATACAGTAAAAGGTCTCCCGCGTAAAGATACCAGGATTATTCTCCTCGATCCCAACAGTTCATTTTACGGTACATTTCAGACTCTGCGTGCAAAGGACGTTCTAGAGCACGGGCCAACCGGAGCCGAGCAGCCGGAACCGTTCAGTGACGACCCACCCGGACCGGATGCGCCGCTCGCAGCGCAACACCTGCAACGAAGGGGAGCAATAATCACTATGGGCCGCGAACGCGGTGGGTTTGACGGAACAGAAACCCCCGGTTCTAAAAACGATATGGGTTTATGACAAGCACTCTAATCAGCAGGCAAGACTCACTGGGGTGCTTGGGCTTTGAAAATATGAATGTTTTGTAGTTTCGTGAGAATATCTACTTCGACATGAAACAGAGATTGATCGGGTGAAAAACAAAGACCACGGATTCTGAGAAAGCCGTGCCAGGATATCGGAATCGCCGCGCACCTGGCGGGTACTCGCAATTCCCAGGCAGCACAGTAGACTTAACATATCGAATCGACCTACCATATTGGTGCACTTACTACCATTGTAGAAAATCAATGGTACCTCGCCTGTTCCGCTTCTGCTGTAGGATCTAATCGATCATTTAACATGGCAGCAGCCTCAGTGGCGTTGCTTACTTGGCCACAAGTCGGGCGGTAGCTCATGTTCAGGAACCGGAGGAAGCGACCGTTGATGTAGTCGAGTTGTGAGTGAGGTGTGCGTAGGGAGACAGAAGGCGGTGTTGCTTAACAGAGGAGGGGTTGCGGGTGCGGCGTTCTTTATTGGACGGCGAAAGGGGGCGTTCAAGGATGCAGGCGAGCGAGGCTCGACCTCCCTTCATGTGTGCGGGAAGTTTCCAACCAGATCACAATGGATGCTCCTGTCCGTTGTAGGAAACGCAGCGTAAGATGAACCAGGCTGCGGCCGCGGAAGCCGTCCGGGTTACGGCCTCTGGCCACCGGCGTGGTGATAGGTTTGATGACAGTAGATATCGTAATGAGCTTACGTCGAGAGTCAGGAGTTTAGGCGTTGATGGTGACAATGCTAAGCTGTGAGTTTTGTGAGGCTTCAGCGCAGAGCAGTCATCCAAGTATGCAAAGGAGATTCCCTGCATCAGGTGGCCATCCGTCAAAACGAGGCAGGGGTTTGAAGTTCGCATCAAGAAGCGCAATTTGTTGCTTCGTCCAGCAACCAGGACAAGACGAGAACGGCCGGGGCCGTGCTAACTTCCCTGGAATGATGCTGCCCTGTGTATGTTCACCCGGCGGGACTGTCCCCGTCCGGCTACGGGACCGCAGGGGCCGGCCATACCGTACACCACTTTGCTCGCGCGACGTCCCGCGGTAATGCACGCTCCTCGCCAGAAGTACATCACCTCCTGGGCGGACCTCACCGTCGCCGCTGTCGCGACCGTTCAGTAATCAGCCTCTTCAGAATGACACAGTGTCACTTCCTCTCTCACTCCAACCATCCAACCTCAATTGCAAGTCGCGGCAGAGGGCGAGCGCGGGTCCATCAATAGGACACAATGAGAGCAAACTGATGCTTTTTCCAGGTCTAATGGCGCCCTCCAGCGCATGTTGGACCTCCTGCTCCTTTCCAGTGGCAAAGGCACCCGCTGGTCCAACAGCAAGGGCCGGGAATAAGCCGTGCCTGGCCCGCTGTACTACATGGAGGCCAATATTGCATTTGAACCCCAGCCTGCCCATTCGCCTGTGTGCACGCAAGTACAATGTACGTCGCCCACCGCAGTGCTGGTTTGCCATGGGGGTATCCACCTCGTCAACCAGCAGCCGGCTCCTACCCGCGTTCCGGGACATGGGCTGCCATACGAGCTCTGCGCCAGCTAGGTATTGGCACTGGGTACGCAGATGCCAGATGAGTGGATACAGGCACACCGAGAGGTGTTCTGCGTCGCCCTCCAATACGGTGAGGTGTGCATTTATTGCAAGAAATGACTGCAGAGCTATTTCCTTCAAGAGAAGTCTGCCCTTGCAGGCGGATACCACAGCAAGGTTCGTCGTATGTCCCTCATGGATTCATGGACATCAATGGACTCCCGGGAAAGGAACCAGCCATGTTGGAGCAAACATCAACCTACTACCCCTCCGCCACTGGCGACAACATGGCCAATCAATGGCAAAATGCAAGTTCGACGCGACCATCCAGTACACCAAGGTGCAGAGGAGTACCACCTGCACGAGTTCACCTTGGGCGACCGCCAGCCATGCTGACAGCGGCTATGAGGCTGCTCGAATTCTCTGGCTTGACCCAGTCTGCTTCAATCTGGTGCTTGGGTGTTTTCATCCCTGTCTACATATGCACACCTGTCCGTGCGTGCTTCTGTTGGAGGGCGGCAGCTTCGCTGTTCTACTGCAACAAGTCAGGTTTGTTGGAAAGCCAAGAGACAAGGTAATGTGAGAAACCACGCTCTTATCCATCGCAACAAGCATCATTTTGTTACTCAAACTCCTTTGTTCCACCCAACTATTCGTGATGTGGTTTCGTTCTCATCATACCAGTCGAAGCCTCTCTGGAAGTCTGCAATGCCCTTTTCACACTACCTCGTCATCACCTACAAGCATCCGGATGCCCTTCCAACAACAGTCTCAGAGAGGCGTCGCTTTTGCATCAGTAGCACCACCAGCCAAGATGGCAGGTTTTATGAGGTTGCTGACGCCTGGACAAGCATCCTAAACTTGCTGACTGCCCTCGGTCTGATGAACTCGCCCCATCACCGGTATCTGGTGTTAGCACTCTACGAAAACACTCTGGCTGATCGCGAAGAGACCATAAACCACTGGTCTCGAACGGCCATATCCGAGATCATTCGCCAAAATGGCAGACCATCAAGATACGACTATTTTGGTTTCACTCAAGAAGGTCACCGTCGTACAGTGGAGAAGACTTGGTCGATGCTCGAGACACGGCTGAAGTGGGCAGCCCTTCACTGTGACGTGAAGGTGACGACCCCAGATTCGTCAATGAGTGAGTTGTTTGTTGACAGCGATAGCATGCGAGTCCTGGTATATCAGAAGCCTTCAGTGCGTTATTGGCCTTCTGTGGACGCCTGCTGGACCCGAAATCCTCCCGCGCGGGGCAATTCAACGAGGCGACATTGATGCAAATTCTGGAAACTAAGTGGATGGAATCAACGCATTCACCGGAGAACAACAAAGAAGAGCTCCATCTCATATCGATTCTTCGGTGCATATATGAGCTCTCCGCCGGCGTATCTGGTTCGACCCAAATCAAACACCACAAAGACCTCGATAGATCTCGCAGCTTTGCAGATAATCTCCGGCTTTGCGCTCAATTCATCGACGTATCCTGTCAAGATAGTGATTGGAAAACTAATTTGGCCAACAACATCCAGCTCTACGACTTTGCCATTAACCTTTTTTCTCCAGATGTTCGAAAGGGCACTCACCATCGGTTGGACGTCCTTGCGTTCGCGTCAGGTTTAGAGGCGAACCAATGGCTTGCCACTCTAAAGTGCTACCGCGACATGTTCCATGAAATCCAGTCGCTTTCTATGCTGCTGCCGAGCAAGAGCCTAGTAAGCTACACTGACGCTTGAGACGTGAAAGAGGCTGACGGAGATGTCTAGGCAACGATCCCAAGGGCGTTAACAATGCTACTGAGCCCGGAGGAAGCTAGTAAACTCTGCGAATTTATTGGCGAAGTCCAAGGAATAAATCTGTTCTCGCACACGAATGAGAACACTTGTTACTTCCTGATTTGGTGCCAAACACATGGCTTCAATCAACCGGGGTTAGGGCAATGGACAGAGTCTGGGAATGGCAAAACGGTGTTCGCAGAGCTTCGAGCCGCGGCGAACATCCGTCAGTCAGCACCGGCGCTCGTTGGCATTATGCTGGCTATTATAAGCTACTGTCGACTTCAACCGTCAAAGCAGTTGAATCCCGAGGGGGCTGATGCGGTCAAGAGCGACTCCTATGGCTTTGTGGGATGCATGCCTGGAGGTCTAGAACACCCCGTCTTGATCCCCTCTCTCAGGGACGCTATGAAGGAGGTGAAGTGCGACCACTCAAAATACTTGCAACTTCTTACAGAAAAGTTCCAGATTGAATCCGACGAATCACATTTTGTCTTGAACAAGTACTTTGTTCTGAGGATGAATGGATCGAGCCATGCGGATGCATTAAAAGAACTGTGGGACTGAGATCGCTGAGTCAATGGTTAGATGGACCAGAGCACACCATGTTAGATTAAGGGATAGAACGTGACAACTCTACATATTATTGATTAAACCAACCATCTCAAGCAACTACCTACTAAGCATGCCCGCAACATCATTTTTACTGCGATCCTGTGTGGACCGCCTGACACTGCGGCTGGAGCAGCCTGACGACCTCCTCCAACAGTCCCCCCTCCCCGTAAAGCGCGCTCCTCATATCTCTCATACCCGCTGTCAGCCGATCGAGAGGCTCGGCCATCGACTGTAAATAGTACACGAAGCTCGTGAGGAGTTGGCCCTGTCGGTCGACCCGGCCAGTCGCCTGCCTCTCCTCGTTGACGTTCTTCATCACGCCAAAGTGGACACAGTGGTTGGCCACCTTGAGCGCGTCGAGGCCGGTGCCGCTGACCGCGTATGTGGTGATGAACAACTTTGTGCGCCGCTTAGGCTCGTACTCGCCGCTGGCCCCGGGGCGTGGCTCGTTGAACTCCCGGAACCAGTCGATGATCTTCTGGCGTTCTTCTCCCGACACGCCATTGTGCACGAGGGCTGTGCAGAATCTCTCGTCTCCCCTCGTCTCGAACCACAGCTGGACCAAACAGGCCAGAACAGGCCACTTGGTGAAGTTGACAACGTTCTTGGGACCGCCGAATCCGGGCCTGCACTCGGCATCATCGGGATATACCTGGCAATCGTTGAAAGCTTTCATGCAGATGTTGAGCAGGTTCGCCATCCGGCTGCAGTCGGCAAGGATGTCGTTCAGGCTGTGCCAGATGTCAGGAGGCACGCGCGCCTCGTCGAGGTACGTCGGCGGGATAGCCACGCCCTTGCCGTATCCGATCACATCGACGATGTCCGTCCAGCGAGTCTCGATCTGCGTCGTCTTCCACGTCCGCAGAAGGCCGGGCAGGTGAGTGGCGAGGTCCAGCTGGCGCACCTCCTGGCTCTTGCTGATGATGGCCATGTCGCCGTCGGCGCGCGACGTCGTTTTCTGCTTGCCCTTCGATCGACGCGGCGCTACGTCATCGCCGCCGCCGCCGCTGCCGTCGCCGTCTGCTGCCCGGGCGGCCTGGAGCTTCTGCACAACCGCGCTGCCCACCTTGGCGACGAGGCTATTCATAGCGTCCCGGAACTCGGGGTCGATCGGGCATTCGACCCGCTCCGTAACAACCTCCGTCTTTTCCATGATCGGATGACCAAAAAACAAGCTGGTAGGTAGGTGATGGTTTTCCCAACGCCCATGGGATGCGCAAGCAGGGCGCCGAGGTGTCTGTCCGTGGCGACCTGCTCGCTCGATCACACGCCGGATGTCGTCGAGCTGATGCGGTCGCAGTTTTCGCTTCGTGCCGGGAAGCTGGCGGCGGTGCTCCGGATCCATGGTCATGTGGCGTTCGTCATGATCGAAGAAGTGGCACGTCCTGCGCCAGCCGGCGGCGTCATCCGGTGAGTTTATGAGTAGGTCAACATCCGCAGCGTGTTCCACGGGACCGGCGCTGACAAAGATAACATCGTTATCGTTGTCGTTGGAATCGTCTTTGTCGTCGATATCGTCCTTGTCGCCGCCCAGGAGCTTTCGAGTCGTGGCCCGCGTCCGGGAGAGCGTCGTCTACGTCTTGCTGCTCCGAGGAGGCGGTCTCGGACGGATTATCATAGCGCGAGCGAATGTCCCAGTAAAGAGTAACCTCGCGGGCGTCGGCCGCGTTGGCGATCCAGTCTTGGCAGAAAGACAGCACCTGGTCTAGAACGATTCTGAACTGCCCGTCGTGCTTGATCGGCGTGGACGGTCGGTGGGGAGGCTGGCCATCGAACTCGAGACGTAGGTACACAGCCTCGTTCTCGTTGTCGAAGTGTACTCGGCTGGATGCCAGTTTTGCCCGAAGACAATCCCAGCTGTAGTCGCACGCATGCCGTCTGTCCCAGCTCGGACATGGAGCGCGGCGGGCGCCGGTCACAAATAATCCTTGCATCAGGTCCTCGTCGACGACCTACCCGCCTCGTTGGATTTTGCATCGCGCCGAGAGGGTGTGGTTGAATGCGGAGGCCGAAACTACGGCGGGGGACGGGTCAAGGTTGACGGCGGTTCGCGGCAGTCGAGGATCGGTTCGGAGGGCCAGTTCGCTAGAGGCGGCATTCGGGGACGAGCACGCGGTGGCATTGTTAGCCTCGGAGCTTCCTTCCGGGGGGGGGGGGGGGGGGGGGGGGCGGTTGTTGAGGATAACCGCCGCGCTCTCTTACTCGGCTTCGCAGGCTTCTAATCCGCAGAGCACTCAAGAGGATCTCGACAGTCTGCAATTGACATAAATCGAAACGAACGGAACAGCGCAAATGATGCCGACTAACCCGCTGATGCTGGTGAGCCTGGAGGGCTAGATGGAGAGTCGGAGGCATCCATGGTTGATCAAGGGCGACCAACGCCGAAGTGTTGTTGTTGTTGTTGTTGTTGTTGTTGGAAATGAGGCCAAAGAGTGAGACGAAAAAGGTATTTAGGCCTAGGCAGGATAGCTGGAAAGTGTGAGTGAGGTGAAATAGGAGTGGAGAATCGGCAGGCAGGCAGCAGGTGGGATGAAGAAGGTGCGACACAACGTGAAGAGGCACTTGGTTCGTTATTAGATAAACACAGGCAGGGATTTTAATCAATGCCCGTTCGCAGCGGGTCCTTCTTCTTTCGTCCCTGGCGATCATCTCCGCCAAACGCCCGCCATCGCAGCAGCTTTTCCCACCGCAGAAGATCAACGCAACGGACGAGACCGCACTTCTTCCCCGGCGGCTCAATAAGTAATACATCTGCGACGTCTATCGCCTGCCTCGTTTCCACGCTGACTTTTCTCTCCGCTAGCCTAGCATGGCGGAATCCGACGTGGACGACGCTGCCAGCCCCGCGTAGGACGACTTCGCCGGCGGCTCGTTCGACGCAGTCGCCTGTCGCGTTATCTTCGCCGAGGTCGACTGCGCCGGGACCACTCCCGACAAAGCCTACAACCCCCTCTCTGGTCATCGACACGCTCGTCGATGGCTGCGCCGCACACCTCCGCTCTCTCCGCGATGTTCCCGGGAACGACGGGGTGTCGAACTGTTTCAAGGATTTCCAGTTGCCAGCCAACGTCAAGTCAAGGTTCGCCTCTGGTGGCCCGCGGAAGATGGCGATATAATCCTCAGGGCCCATCTTCTTTGCCAGTTCCGCAATGGCAAGACCGACCTTGATGCCATCATGCGAACGTCGGCCGGCTACACTCTTGGGGACCACTGTCGAAATCTCGACCCCAATGACACTGAGGTGGGTGGTATCCCTTCGCCGCGCCTTTTCACCCAGTCACCAAGATCATTCTCCCTTGTAGACCGCCAACACTCTGTGTCTCGCTCCTCCCCGCGCCATGTAGGAATGCGACTCGCTGTACCCTCTACTCAGCCGTCGGGCCGAGGACTTGCTCATCCAAGAGGACGAGGATCGACGCGCCCTTTCCCGCGGCAACGCGACCATATGGACCCCAGATGCTCGCAGTGCTTGGGAGGATGGCCTTAAGTACGGATTCTGAGATGGAGGGAGAATGTGAGTCACTGGTCGACCGCAGGGAGGTTCAGTTTCGTACGAAGTCGGCTGTTCAGCGACCTCGGATCCAGGAACTCGAGTGGGTAATGCCTCGTCTCTGCGGGTGGCAGTATTTCGTTAGTAGTTTCAGTTTTGCAAATATGAGTACGGACCGACACACGATTGCAGCCTCGGTGGTTTACAGTACAGAGCATAAATCTCTTCCTCTTTTGCACAAGCTTTCAATGTTTAGGAGAGCCAGAACCTGCTGTTACGTCTGTTTCAAACGTCTTTCATTGGCTGTGGTTGCCTATTTGCAAATAAGATGTGGAGTCAATGTAGCTCACCCCTGGAGTATGAGAATCGATGTATCTTTCCAAGAGGAAGAAATTTATGCTCATAACTGTAACAGGATTGCCGTTTGATTCGCTTGCGTTTCTCACGGCCACCGTCCGTCAATCGTCTCTTCCAGGCTGATGGGTCGCTAGTACTGTTGTCAAGCGCTGTGGCTCGGCCCATAGCGGAAGCGGGCGGACACCGCCACAACTGGAGGAATGGGGAGCAAGAAAGGCGACTCTCTCGCTTCATTGCTGCTCGCCATGTGCACAATCGCTGTCAAAGTGGATTTCAGAGCTCGATCTAGAGTGACGTAGGCTAGGAGCCGGAACAGGATCCTGCGGACAGGGTACACGGTGAAGTAAGGTGCTCGCTGTATGGCTGGGGATAGTGACTCCTACGAAAACAGGATCTCAAGGTGGAAGTGTAGCGGCGTCAAAAGCCGATTTCTGGGTCACGGATTTCCAATGTAACGACTGGGATTTGTAAATGGATTCTGCATACGGAAATATAGCAGAGCAATTAGAGTCGTTGCCGGACGGTGGAGAACGCCTTCCATGAAAGGTCAGAACCTGCTCCTTCAGGAGCTCGTTATAAATTGTGCAGATAGAACACGTGGTAGAGCAAGAAAGCTCCTTGTTACATGGCTGGGAAGATTCTCGACCAAAAGCCAGAAATGATTTCCGCGTCATTGTCGCAGGTGCGCTAAAACCGGTTCTCCAGGTTATGACTTTCCACTATGTTAATAGGAGCGGGAAATGGGTCTTTTCGGGGACCATGCACGGCACAGCAAGGTGCTCGCTGTGTACTGTAGCTTGGATGGCCCATCTTGGGATCTTGGGAGCCCAACAGGCTCTTAGCATGTTCCGGACGTTTCAACATAGCAATGGGGAGCCAGATATGGATTTTGCAGTCACCGTAAGTAGTAGAGGAAGAAAGCTCCTTGTTGCGTGGCTGGGAAGACCAGCCGGAATCAGTTCCTTGCAAGAGTCAGATATGGAGCGTGTAGGTAGTGGGACAAGGAGGACCCTTGTTGTGTGGCTGGGGACGTGGCTGGGGACATCCTCCATCAAATGCCAGAACCGGCACCTGCCTCATCGTTGCGGCGACGTTGGAACTGGATCTCTAGGCCTCGGCATCAATTTCTACACAACAGGGCAAGACCCTAGTCGCGTGCTGGGGAGATCATCTTCCAAAGTTCCCAAAGCCGGAATCCAAAAGTAAGAAATGGCTTTCCAGAAGAGCTAGATTTGGATCTTACGAACAGGAGACAGACTCAGCAAGCACGATCTTCGTTGTGTGGCTGGGGACAATCTCGATCCAGGCTCAGCCGGTTGAAGGGAGCTGGAAATGGATTTTGCGGACATCCTAAATAGCGCCTAACAAGAGCCAGATCCAACTTTTTCGACATTGGAAACGGTGTGGTCGGTAAGGTCCTTGGTGTGTGGCTGGGAAGCCCTTACCCCAACAGCCAAAAGCGGCTGGAAGCAAGTAGTCCCAACGGCGATGAATGCCAACTTCTAGACCTCGACTTTCCTTTATTACAACAAGGACTCTGGTTGCTCTGCCACATACTGTACCCTGGCTGCAAGATCCAATGCCTGCTCATCCTGCGACTTCCACAGCGGACCGAAATTCGACCTTTGGCACTGGTGCAACTACGCGCTGCTGAAAGCCTTTTATGGCTTTTAGAAGTGGGCATCCCAGCAAGCAACAACAAATTTGCCCGCACCAGCACATCGCCTGGCCGTCGGACTCACAACTAGCTCTTTCTAGGAGCCAGTTTCGGCTTTTGGGGGGAGCCTTTCCAGCCAAGCAATAAGGCCCTTGCTTGGCTGTGTCCACTGTCCGCGAGGTCAGCATCCAATTCCGATTGTCTTCATACCATTGGGGCTAGTTAATACACCAAAGAGCCGATTCTGACTAGATGGTGAATATTTCCAGCCACGTATTGAGGTCCTACGCCTCCGTCTACCTGTCCGCGGGATCCAGTTCCGGCCCAATCTACGGCTCTTCTCTGGCGGTGCCACTCTCCCGGGTCAGCCATGTAGTAACTTGGAGTTCGGTTTTCGAACCGAACAATGGGCATTGTGACCCGCTGACTCAAAATCAGGCACTGTCGTCCCGCACAGCTGCAGCCAGATGCCAGGAGCTGGTTCTGGCTCTTGATGTCGGCCATTCTCAGGCTTGGAGTACAGATCTTGCTTGTCCTGGCATTGACCCTTTCCGTAGAATCTGCATCTGGCTCCATCTAATTAGTTTCTATTTTGTCTTGCACTTCCACACACGGCAGCTGTGCATAGTTAATGGTTCCCATACTGGCTTCCACAATTGCTCCCAAAATGGCCCACCCGCGACGAGTACATAAGCCGCGTCTGCTGCTCTTCAAGTATGCGTCCTGTCTACACCCTTTTTCATCCGTCTGTTTCCAATGAGCGCTCACGGCGTAGCACTCAACCTTTCGCGCCGACTTCTGCCCTCCACAACAAATCTGACGCCTCTTCCATCCTTATGCCACCCCTCCAGCGTCATGCGGATGCCTGCGACTTCGACAATTCCTTTTCGCTGAGCGATGACGATATCAGCGAGAATACTTTCCACGCCAACGACAACGTCTTTGACGTCAACGAAGATGACGACGGCTCGAACACCGACGCGACGGACGTCGAAGACCTCGACGAGGATGCTGAACTTGACGTTGCAGACCAGATCAAGCTGTTTGGCGGGAATCTCCGCCCGCACGAGTATTTGCGGAGGGCGGTGGAGGAAATGAACGAAAGCGAATTCGAATGTCAAGGTAATAGCCTGTCGATAATGGCATTACTAGACAACGTTGAGGAGCAGTGGCGCTTGTAAGGACGACGTGGTTTTACCTTGAAACTGCTGCTAGCTAATGCCCCGAACCACAGATATTGCGAGGTCCTCGACCGTGACCTTCGAAACTGCTACGAGACACTCTCGATCAAAGTTCTCTATAACTTTTTCGATTGGTACCTCAGTCAGAGAGTTGGCAAAGACGGGAGGAAGTGGAGCGGTATTATTAAAGAAAAGCTCTTTGGGAACATGCTGCAAGATCTTTAGACTTTTGTTTGAGAGGGCTACGTGTGAGAAGATACCCTCTAAGCTGGGTCGCAGCATGCGCAGGGTACGTAGGCGTTTTGGGTCGACACAATCGCTTTTGCTGACGGGATCAGGTTATCGGAAGGCTGGTCAAGGAGCACGGCCTAAGCGATCAGGCGCGAGCTAAGCGTATTATGACAATTGACCAACTGAAGCAGCACATCGAAGAATCGCTAAGTACAATACGAAAGACGTTCGGGTTTGGAGAAGTACGCCTCCTTGCCGTGCTCTTTTTCCCGTTGGTTGCTCCGGCTGGCTCTTGCCGAACAGTTATTCTGAGGCTTCGTTTCAGGGACATAAGCATTGTCCTAGTGAGGGATCCAGAAGGCGGACCGCATAAGCTTCATGTTCGGTTCACATCAAAGTTCACAAAGGAATATCTCGGTTCTAAAGCTCAGTATGAACCTGGCTTTAGTGTCCCGAGAATGGCCTAAAGAGCTAACGCATCTACAGGAACACCTAACCGATCCCCCAAACTATGTTTGATCCCTCCTTACTGCTCAGCCCGCAGGTATTTCTTCTGGGCATCCGAAGCAGAAGCAAGCATACAGTCAGCCCAGGAACAATTCGAAAGGAAAGCGATCAAGTTCTGGGTGCGTCTCCGGACATTACCGAACAATCATCCGCTGCGACATATCAGAGTCAATACCTTCAAGAGGCACATCTCGCCTTTCCAGACGATGGCCGCGGCCTACCGTGACTTGCCCCTGGACAGACTGGAGACCATCAACGCGTTTTCGCTGTCACCATGGGAAAACCGAGTGCAGACGGTGGTTGAAGACGATGGAGACAAGGCAAGCGCAGCGACTAAGACAGGTTGGGCCGCAAAGGTCGCGACAGCTAGTTCGGCAAGAAATGGAGTCGTGGGCTTCGGGAGAGCACTGCATCTCCCTAGGTCACACACGGGAGGCGGCTTTACGACAACGGAGTCATGCACAGTCGGTCTCAGGACGGAGCAGAACCCGTTCACGGCAGAGCTTCAGGTGATGGCGACGGCGTGAGTACCCATGAAGGCCAGCCACAACAAGCGATGCGCCGCGTCAGGGAAGAGCAAGAAGAGGCAATCGCCAGGCAACACCGGGCGGGGTTCCCAGGAGATTTTCGTGTGGCCTGTGCGCCACACCGAGGGGTAATCCTCGTTTCTTACACTGATCTGCTGCCTTGTTAGGTATACAGGAGACCTCGCTAAATTTCCCTCGCGGAGGTCGAAGACGATGTCCGACAACGATCCCGGCCCAGGCCATCATTGCTCCGCAGGCTGGCTATCCAACCACTTTCCCCGGATGAGTCGCATTTCTCATCGAGGGATCCTTGCTACCCTCATCGGCAAGACTCTCGTGTCTTCTGCCCACCGTCAACCTATCTCTGTATCCACCTGGATGCATGCCGCAGAGCCCATTTCAATGTTGGTTGGGTGCATGTCCATGGGGCTTCACCCGAGCGACCACGCGCAAGAAGAGCACCTCCAGCCCAGACAAGACTCATTGCCTGTTTGGTGCCAGCAATACACTCGTGTGTATACAGACCAGTTGCTGTTCGTGCCTTCTGAGCGGTGTTTCTGGGCGCCCAGGCAATAAGTAGAGACCGCCACCAACTCACAAGTTCCGGCGACTACTACCTACCAGCAAGCCTTGCTCCAGGTCTCCTGGCCAGTCCTTCGTTCACTGAAAACTACGCCGCACAGCAAACCTCTACTTCTTGTGTTTGTCACTGCGGGTTGTGCTTTTCCGTCGTTGCACGACGATACACACACACACACACACACAATTTATTACGCCCGGCGGCCACGACGATACATGTTCCAGTCAAATCTGACATAACCACAACGCGTAGGTACTTGTTTATCCTGTCGTCGTCGCGGCTTTCTAACCCTGCAGGTACCTGGCTCTGCCACAGTCAGCCCTGTCGTTGTGGCATTTTCCAGAGGGGAAAGAAGCCCTAATATTGGTTCAGCCTATCGAGCTTGAGTAATACGAAGTCTCCACTCGATCTTTAAAAAACCCCGCCTGCTTCTAACGTCCACCCAGTACCGACGGCGTTTCATCCGACGACACATTGAATTAGTGATAACACACTGAGACCGACTGGCCTTACACCTGAAGACGTCGCCATAGATCAGCCATGGATAATGGAGTAGATCTACTCGCGTATACCCAACAATTGGAAAACTTCTACGAGGGTGATCGCGCCCGCGACCGAATGATCCAGGTCAGATTGAGCCCAACTGCCAGCTCTTGTGGTTACCTGATTGAAGCACTACGATGGATGCGGCCGATTTTGCCACGGAGGCATTACTGACTCAAGTCCACAGGATCTTCTGGGTAGCTACCTAGCGAAAGCCTGGAGATCAGCTGCTCTGGACTCCCGCTTCAAGTGCGCCAATGTAGGCTGTGGCTGTGATTCTGGGATTTGTTTGCAGGCCTCCTTGGCAAGAGCGTCTGCTTCCTCGTTTCCTGCGATTCCCGTGTGTCCAGGGCACCACCAAATGTGTACCCTGCCAGGCATCGTCCAGCTTGTCCGTCCTCTCTGTGCCCATGAGGCGGAGAGCTCACTAAAGGCCCTAAACCTAGCCTGGCTGCTTCCTGGACTCCGGGTGACGAGTCTGGCTGCGACTGCGAGGTTATCGAGGCAGATGTGAACGTTGTCTGCCATCCGGGCCGTGGGAGACCTCATGGCTTCCAGTAGGCCCCGAAAAGCGGCTTGCGCTTCTGCGTCAAAGACCTCCGTCTGGTGGCCGAGCGGCTCTGATCCTCGGAAGATCTCCCGTGTGGCCTGGTACCCTACCCAGCCTGCTCCGGCGGCGGTTCTGCTACCGTCCAACATCTGGGAGCCGTCAGTATAGACAACGATATCCCGCTTTGAGAATGTTCTCAATCTGTCTGTAAAGGCGATGGCCAGTTCTTCTTTAGTCTTCCTAGGTTCATAGCCGACCATGCTCAGGGCTGTGTGCCAGTCAGCTAAGCGCTCCCAAGGTGGTAGTTCTAGCGGGTCGATGTATTCAGCATTGCTATTGGTAAGGTTTGCCATTCGCCGCAGTCTTGAGTCTGGTCCTGGCTTGTCTCTGAGTCTCGTTCGGAGGGGGTGTCGTTCGTCAAGGCGATGAATCCTTACGGAGGCTTTGTGGAGCTTCGCGTCTAGCGTCACCTCTGCCGGGGGCAGGGCAGTTTCACGCTGTAGGATCGGTACAGGAGTCGTTCTATACACAGGAAGTGCAGCTCTAATAGCCTTGGCTTGCGTAATGTCAAGTTGGTTGAGTAGACCGTTAACTCCGTTCGAGGTGGTGTGTCCATTCTTGGTCCGGTTCCTGCCAGGCCACCATGCCTCTGATGCATAGTACTGGATGGGTAATACGCAGGAGGCAATAGCGCGGCAAAGCAGTTGCGCCGGTGCGCCCCAGACGGTGTTCCCTAGCCCCCGTAGTCCGTCAACTACTCGGCATCCTCTGGCGCAGAGGTCTCTCACATGATTCTTGAACGTGAGTCTTCTGTCGAAGTGGACGCCAAGCCATCGCAGGGAGGCCCTTTGGTCAACGGCCTGAACTGTGTGCTGTCTCCCGTCCAGCAATCTGACGGTGATTGGCGGGTTTCCATCTCTGCGTCTCTTGGTGAAGTGGACGAGTTCGGACTTGTCGAGGTCGAAGGTAATTCCCTCCGACGCGCCCCATTCTAGGGCTTCTTCCCATTCTTTGACTAGCAGGCCACAGTTTTCCTCTAGTGAAGTCGAGCTCGCCAGGATATCAATATCGTCGGCATAGCCAAATCGAGATCGCCTCCTTCCTGGACGAGCAGTGCTCAGCTTGAACAGGGGTTCGATGTACAGCATGAAGAGGATGGGAGACACGGGCGAGCCCTGTGGTAGCCCACACTCGAGGTCGAAGACGTCTCCCATCTCCCCGTCTAGCCTTTTTCTTGCTCTTCTCCCGAGGACAAAGCTTGAAACCCACTGCACGAGGTTCTCCGGCCATCCTTGGCATCGGAGGCACCGGATCAGCCTCCCTGGCAGCACAGCGTCGAAGGCCCCTTTCACGTCAAGTGTGAGCATGGAGGTGACAAGACCTTTCTGCCAGCCACACTCGATATCATGAATGGCGGCAGCGGCGAGGTCGCTACACGAGCGGAGGGGGAGGGCCCCGAACTGTTGGTCGTGCAGTACCCGGTGCTTGACTGTGACCCAGGCAAGCCTTCTTGCGACAAGTCTCTCCAAGCCTTTTCCGAGCACAGACAACAGCGCAATTGGTCTATAAGAGCGCGGGAGCGCCCTGTCTCTCTTGCCCGGCTTAGGCAGAATGACTAGGATTGCTTCTTTGAAACAGGTGGGATGCCAGCCCTCGCGTATGCATCCACTATAGAGCGAGAGGATAATGTCATCGATGAGTGGCCACGCGGTCTTCAAAACGGCCGTAGTGATCCCATCGGAACCAGGGGTAGTGTTTCCCGCAGAGAAAACTGACGTTTGTACCTCATCTTTGGTAACCTGTGGGAAAGGTAGTTTGGCCTCCAGGTGAGGTCCTGGGCTCTCTGCTGGGATGTCCGCGGAGATGGCGGCACTTCTGAGGAGAACGCGGGCAAACAAGTCCCGCTTCTCTTTTGGTCGTGAGATGACCGCGGCTGGATTGCTCCCATCTCGGAGTGGTGGGGTCTGGAAGGATCCCGTGGCTTTATGCCACCCGACCATTTCAAATACGTCTTTGCCAGTGGAGGCTGCGGCGATCTTTCCTCTCCAGTAAGTGTCCTTGGAGCACCGTAGCTGATGGAGAAAGTCCTGCTTAAGAGCGTCCTCCTCATTTCTTTCCCACTGACAGTCTATTCCCAAAGCGCAGAGTCTTGCCACAGTCGCTCTCTTGGTCGTGTAGGCTCGGTATTTGCGCGTGCAGTTCTCGTCCCAGTATGGTCTCCCAGGTCCTCTGCCAAGCGTGCGCCTTGTAGAAGCCGTAAGCGCTTCTCCAAGGCAATCTGTGAGCTGCTGTGCTAGTCGATCCAACGCCTGTGGATCCCTTGCGTTGCTTGCAGTATGGCGCATGGGGTGTACGTTTCGTCTAAGGATGTCGAGGAAGAGCTTCTCGTCCATCGTGTCAAGCCAGAACCTCCCCGGAGTTGGGTCGGGCGAATCGGTTAGGGCCAAGGGGACCCGGGTAAGCAGTGTTTCGTGGTCTGACGTTGTGTGTAGGGACGTTTCTATGCTGGTGGATGCCCCGTAGCGGCTGCCGGATGCCCAGGCTAGGTCTAGCGTGTTGCCGCCCTTATGCGTGGCTTCACCTATCGGCGACAGGAGGGCAAGGCCAGCGGCTTCTGCCCATTCTACCAGATCATCAGCGTCAGAGGAGCTTGACGCCTCGGGTTGCCAGGTCCAATGATGGAGGTTGAAATCACCCGCGACCAGCACTCGTTCCTGGTGTCCGGGCTGCCAGGCTGTTGTGATATCCCTAACCGCTTGACCGGGCCGCAGCGAGCCACAAGGGGCGTTGTACACGTTGATGACTGTGAGGACTTCCCGCGTTCCTGCCAGGAGTTGTAGGAAGAGCAGGTCTGTGGATGGACTGGATAGTGGGCGTGTTTGTACGCCCCGTAGTCCCGTTCCTCTGCGGAGGTAGGTGAGCACCCTGGGTCTGTCTTCAACCCAGTTGTCCACTGGGGTGAAAATCTCGAAGCCCGGGTGGTATCTTGTGAGCCTTCTCTCTTCCGAGCGGATAGATGGCTCTTGTACTAGGAGTATGTTCTGCGTAGGCCAGATTCAGTGCCGTTTCGTGTGCGAGTGGTCGTCTGGCCACGTTCGCCTGCATGATCTGCAGGGCTCTAGAGGGCTGTCTTCTCCTGCTGTCCCTCATTTGCTTGTTTGCAGTCCATCTCTTCTCCTCCTTCTCGGGACTGTTGATGCGACTGCTGGGTCGCAATTCTACACGATCTCTCTCCCTCAGCCCGGATGGCCCGTAGCTGTGCCTTGTTCCACCTCTGGACTACGCCCTTCACCACTTTGGGTTTGATAGGGCAAGTCGCATCGAAGGCGGCATGGGACCCGTTACACGATGGGCGTTTAAAGGGGCAGTCGCAGCCATTGTGACCCTCGGTGCCGCCGCAAGGGGCCTGGTGTTGATCGGTTGTGTGGGAAGACGAGCTGCATTCAAGGCATCTCTTCCTTCTGGTACACGTTCGTTCGTTATGAAAGCCACCGCAGCGGTGGCACTGGGGGGGACCCTTCTCCTTCGGAAACTGCAGGTTCACAAAGACGCTGGCCCCCATCAGACGGAGGCGTCTTGGTAATTGTTTCACAACTTCCGCCGTAAACCAGGCCGTCACCGTGCCTAGCTTTTCGACTTCGTCTTTCCTGGAAAAGTATGCTTTTTCCGGCTTGAGTTTCGTCGTGAACTGGATCTCTTCGAGTAGCTCCTCGGACGAGATTTCCAGCTCAGTGTTCGTTAGCAGGCAATGCCTGGTGTAAGGGACGTTTGCGATATAGGCCCGGATCCAGGTATCGCGCTGTTCGACCGCCTGCGCCTGGAGGAGGGCAGCAATCTGTTCTCTGTTATCTAGCAAGGTTTTGGCCCCATCCGCTGACGCGGGTAGGAGTGCCAATCCTGTCTTGACATGGTCGATCCCCTTCAGGGCTCCTCGAACCTGAGGACTGAGCTTTTCTCGAACGAAGGCATATATGTCGTAGGCTTTCTCGTTGCGAAGCGGGCTTTCAGGAACTGTTCCCTTTCGGCGTCCCGTCGTAGGAGATCCTGGACGAGGTTTGAGAGCTTGTTGGTCTCGTCTTCAAGCTCCGCATTGTCTTGGTAGTTGACTTGCTCAACCACTCTGACCTTTGCGGTCGGTTTCCGGACTCGTCCCGACCGTCGAGAAGTCCTGGCGTCCCCGTGGACGGTGATCGTTGGCCCTACATCTAGGGAGACGGCCATGATCGTGGAATTCAGCTCGCTTGGACTGATGATGAGAAATAATAGTGCGGTGGGCCGGAGCCCTCTATAGTCTTAACAATTGCTAACAGTGGGTACCTTGTGTCTGGATGGTGGTGATAATAGGGATAAATGACGTATCTGTTGGTATCACAGGGATACCCGTATATGGGGTTTGCAACTGGGTGCGGTTGCGGGCAAAAGTCACGGTATCCTGGGTGACTGTGTATTCTGCTTGTCTAACTATCTAAGGGGTTGCTGGCGGTGATGGGCATTTGACCGTGGGATCGCGGGTGAACACCCCGCGATCTGATTGGCCAGAGTATCCGGAGTTAGACCGGGATTCCCCCAGTGATCCGGCTTAGCCAGCAGCCCAGTATCCGACGGTCAATCCGACAGACACCATCTCAGTAAATCTCACAAATGAATCGTTTTTACTGACATATTGCCAATCATAGTGTTAGTATCACAGGGGATACCCGCACGGGTTGCGAACTGTTGAAGCAAAATAGTACTCTTCTGTTTGATACTACGGCATGTGGCTTTGCTTGCTTCACTATGGAAGAGCAACTACGAGGATATCCCATCGGGTACTGCTTGACGCCATTTTTGCCAAGACCTCCAAGTACCTACTATTGCCCACTATTACCCCGCATTCAAAGGGGTACCGTAGTAGAGGTGAATAGTGGAGGTTGCTGGAGGTAGGGATGATGGTTGTAGGCCGATTGACCGCCTTCGATTTCAGGACTAATGGGCCGGGTGGCTGCTAGCTGCCTTAGGTTAGCTCCAATTAATATGGGATCCCAGTTGACCGAGTAGATACGAAGGCGGGTGTTTCCAGCGGAGCCGACGCTGGCGAAACGGGAGCGGAATGTGTGACGGGAGGGTCAAGTGCATCAAGGTGAGGCTGCGTAGGCGGGTAACTGGAGCGCGACGAGGTCATGTCTACATCGTCGTCTGGGTCGCACAATGCGTTCTGCACGGCCATGACAGAACACCTGCCGGACTTGGTGTCGGAACGCGGTGCTGACGTGACATGGTTGTTACCGGTACTGGTGAAGCTTGACCCTAGTGTCGGGGCCGTGAGAAGGCTCAATTAAAACAAGGCTCACGTGCTCGCGATACGCGTGCGTCAGATTGATTAGGGATCCCGGATGAAAACAGGCCCAGGTTTGGCAGATCATTCGTCGTTAACTTCCAGGGTAAGGCAGACCCCGACGGGCCCGGTCGGCAGTCGTGGCCGGCTTCTTGGTCTCGGCACACTGGGCGCCTTGACATAATCAAGCGGTGAGCCAGAAAGAGATCCGTCGTATCTACGAGGCTACAGTATCAGTGTTCTCGAAAACAGAGGCAACTGAGTGACACTCTTCTGGCTTCCGGCTGGGATAGAGTCGAAGCTCATCAAGGAGGCCGAGGCAGCGGCAAAGGAGAGTACCCGACAAGGAAAAACACCGAGGAGGAAGCCAGCCAGGGCTTACTCAGCCACGCTTAGGAACGTGATACAGAGCGTACGAGAGACGAACCCCGGAGTACCAGAGTGGGTCGGAAAGTTCTCAAAGAGAGTCGATACAGCGCTGCCTGGAAAACACACACGACAGCAATACGACTCATTTTCATGGAAAGAGGGCAGCATATTGGCCTAGCTACGGGGATGGCCAGGCTCAACTTAGTTGCTGCCGTCAGAACAACCAGCCAACTTTGGTCTTGAATTTGATTGGTTGATGGAAGGTCATGCGCGATTTTGATTGGCTAAGTTGGTTCGGTTGGTTGGTTGAGTTGCTCTGACGGCAGCGCTGCTCAACTGGTAATTAGCCAGGGCGTAACAAACTCTGTGTGGGTGTGTAGCAGAGCAGTTGGAGTCGTTATCGGATGGTCTAAAACGCCTTCCATGAAAGGTCAGGACCTGCCCCTTCAGGAGCTGGATATGGATTGTGCAGATGGAACACATGGTAGAGCAAGGAAGCACCTTGTTACATGGCTGGGAAGACTCTCGACCGAAGGACAGAACCGGCTTCCGCGTCACAGCCGCAGGAGCACTAAACTGGCTTTCCAGGCCATGGCTTTCCAATACATCAACAGGAGCCGGAAACGGTTTTTGCGGGAACCATTCATACACGGCACAGCAAGGTGCTTGCTGTATGGCTTGGATGGCCCATCTTGGGATCTTGGGAGCCCAAACAGGCTTCTAGCATGTTCAGGACTTTCCAACATAGCAATAGAAAGTCAGATATGGATCTTGCAGTCACCGTACGTAGTAGAGGAAGAAAGCTCCTTGTTGCGTGGCTGGGAAGACCAGCCGGAACCAGCTCCTGGCAAGAGTCAGATGCGGAGCGTGTTGACAGGGGAGGTAGTGGGACAAGGAGGACCCTGGTTGCCTGGCTGTGGACGACCTCCACCCAAATCCAGAACCGGCACCTGTCTCAACGTTGCGGCGACGGTGGAACTAGATCTCTAGGTCTCGGCATCCATTTCCACACAACAGAGCAAGATCCTAGTCGCGTGGCTGGGGAGATCGACTCCCAAAGCAGGAATCCAAAAGTAAGAAATAGCTTTCCAAAAGGACCAGATTTGGATCTTGCAAAAAGGGGACATGACTCAGTACGGAAGATCCTTGTCGTGTGGCTGGGGATAGTCTCGCTCCAAACTCAGCCGGTTGAAGGGAGCTGGAAATGGATTTTGCGGCATTCAAAGTAGCGCCTAATATAAGCCGAATCCATCTCTTTTCGACATAGGAGATAGAGTGATCGGTAATGTCCTTGGTGTGTACTGTACAGTAGCTTACATTATATACAATTAGTGCGCAGGCTGTGACATAGTTCTCCGAATACCATCTTCATCATCCCAATGTCCTCGGAAAATGCCCCGCTGACTGGACCTCGATCGCTTGATTTCTGTGCCGACTTGCTGGAATCTTTCGCCTCTGGCTTCCATCTTCGCTTGTTCGGCACCAGCTGAGCCAACGGACCTCGGGGTGGCTCCAGCAGCAGCGCTCTTTCAAAGTCGATCATCATAACCCCGTTGATCTCCGCATTGAACAGCATGTTTGCCGTCCGTACATCCTTGTGGACTACGCCCTGTTGATGTATTGCGCGCAACGACCGCATCGCCTTCCCTTCGAGCTGTTCACCCCCGCCACCCACAATCCCTGTTGATTCAAGGTCATATCCTCCCCACGACAGAAATGTCATGTGAACCACATACACTCGGTGGTCATAGTAATAAATCCTGTCCATCGATCGGAGGTCGATGGCCCCGAGGAACACGGGCACATGAGTACCTTGGACCGCCTGCAGACGTTTGTAAACCGCCGCCTCGTGCTCAAGGTCTTTGGCAAATGCCCGAACCGTGCCCTTGCTGACGAAGGTGTAGCCATACGCAAGCAGGCTCACTTTGAACAGTACGCCGCGCGCACCACTCTGCCCCAACGGCGTGATCCCGTCGTCTAGTGTCCGTTCTAGCTGTTCCCAGAGAAGCTTAAGGAATTGAGCGTGATCGATTGGATGACGGACACGGCTGCGGCTTGGGCCACGGCAGTGACTGCGGTGATTCTCGGGCTGCCTGTTGTGAAGTGCCATGTTCGGGCATCTTGCGTCGAGAACCCGGCCGTTGACGAGCCCTAACAGGCACTTTTGGGTGCAGTAGGGCCTGTCTTGCTCGTTGCTTCCTCCTCCTCCTCCGCCCCCGCCCCGCGGCCGCCGCGCCAGAATCCGCTCACTGCGTCGAGTTCCCTGACCTCCCCGGCCTTCTTGACGTATCCGCCGTTCTGTCGGGCTCGGCGTGTCTGGCAGGTCCCGTGCTGCCTCGTCATCAGATGATTCTCCTGGCTCCCTTTGTTCATGTTCCCTCACGGGCTCATCTCCCACACGTCGCCGTCTCTTTCCTCGGAGAAGGCACGGAGATCGGTCGACACCCTCGTACGCTTCAGGTTGGTAGCCGGGTGAACTATCCGGCGCCTGTCGTTCGTCCTCCGGAATCGATCGTAGCGTCGTCTCGAAATCTTCCATCCACGTCTTCAATTTTTCCGTAGCTTGGCGGCGCTCGTCTTGCCCATGCAACCGCCGTTCACCCGGCAGACCCAGCGCCATGAGACTAAAGGCCAGATACTGGCCCACTGCCGTGCACAAGTGAAGATGATTTGGATGGGCCAACACTTCGGCACCAGGCTCTGCTAGGTGATAGAAAAGCGTCTCAGGCTCCCGCCAGTCGATCTTGAGAAACACGATCGCCTCGCCCGTCGTCAATAGACCGTACTCGAGGCCCCCCTCGATCATGTAGTGGTAGGTCTGCGTGATGGCGGCTGCAGTCAGCCTCTCCGCGTGATACTGGAAACGTGCATCTGGGTCCACCGACGTCGGGATAGTCTTCCGGTTGACCACGTCCTTGTAGATATCCATCGGCCGCAGTCCGAGACGAAGGTGCGGCGCGGTCAACTTGTGAGGCGGCTTGTACTCGGAAATGTAAACCATTGTGCGTCTCGCCGAGCCCGCATTGTTGGATCGGTAGACGCAGATCTGATCGGGTCGTAGCTGGTTGAGATCGAGCCCGTGGTCTGGCGTGGACGGTGGTGTTGATGGGGTGTCGCGGTCGACGACCTCCTCAGCAAGGTCGCTGATGGCATGCGGATGGTTCTCGAAAACGATGCCGTTTCCCAGATGAAATGCGCTTCTGACCTCTTCCACCTCTTTAAGCTGGTCTATGATCGCCCTGACGGGATCCTCGACGCTGTTGTGCAGGAAGTACTCGAGCGTCTTCTCGTCTGCTATCCTGCGCTTCGAGATCCGGTTTCCTAAGCCGACGAGGAAGGCTCGGTTCTCGAAAAGGCGACTGTCGGTAGGGAAGGTGTCGTAGAGCGTGCCGAATGTGATTCTCTGTTGCTGAATAAAGTCAGGCCATGGTCGGAGATTTGTGGGACACCATTTGTTTCGCGGATTGGTGATGGGGCCCTTCGATGTCAATTTCGGGTTCCGTTCAATGTCAAAGCTGGAGAATACACAAGAATGGCA